GGCTCGTCCCTTCGGAGGGCAGGGGGCGGCTCGTCCCTGCGCACAGAACAGGTGGGGAGCTGCTGTTTCCCACCCCAGGAGAGAGCTGCTAGCACGTCAGCCCCCAGAAAGGGTTTCTTTCTCTTCCGACCTGGGCTCTGTGGTGCTCTCCTCTTGGGCAATCTTGGGAAGACCCTTGGCAATGCAGTCGCTTCGACGGGCCCTTCCGCCTCCCTGCGACGCAGCACAGCCAGCTCCTCAGTGTGCTGCACCCTCCTGGCGCCTGCGGGGACCAAGAAAGAAGTGGGGGGTGAGCTGGGCTGCAGGCCGGGGGGGGGGGGCCAGCAGAGGGAGCCCAACTCACACTGGCTGGCGAGTGGAATTCAAATTTCACAACAATGTCTGAGCTTTTGGTAAGAAATTTGTCCCAAATTGGGACAAAAAAAATCTAAGTTTTTCCACAACCTGACCCTCTGCAACACTTTGTTTGGGCCACACCGAGCTGCAGGAACATCTGAAACATGCTGCCAGGGGTTCCCGGCTGCCTGTCCGGGTGGGTGCCAGGGAGTCAGGAGACCCTGGGAGTCCAGGCCCTGGGAGTACAGGCTGGTTGCTTGGGAGCCAGGTTTTCCAGTGCTTCCAGGCACCTCTTTAGTTCAGAACCGCCATGGCCAGTGGCGGGACTGTTATCCCCAGCATACAGCTGGGAAGTGACACACCGAGGGCTAAGTGACTTGCCCAGTGTCACACAGGGAGTCTGTGGCAGAGCCCAAATTGCTCAGAGCACGTCTTGGGGAACCAGGAAATTGTGGTTCTGTCGGCTCAGTGGATCTGTCTGCGGGGCAGGGCTGCAGGAGCTCCTGGCTGCACGGCTGAGCTCTGCCTGCGGCAGAGAGGGGCTGATGCCATGGGAGCGAGGGCTGGGGTCCCAGGCTTTTACTTTCTGAGCTGGCTGCTCCATCCCTCACCTGCTGGGATGTCCCTTTGGCGCTTGTGCTCCGCCGGGGCTGGGGGATCTGGGACGCACGGCACCTCCCCGCGCTCCAGCTGAGAGATCAGGGCGGGTTTGTGCACTGGAAAACCTGCCCAGGAGGGGGAGAAAAGAAAGAAGCCATCAGTGTGCGGTCAGTGAGGCCTGCTACAAAGGGGGGCCTGAGGGGGAAGTGGGCTGGCCCATGGGAGAGGAGTAGGCACAGGCCAACGGTGACAACGCTGGACCCACAAGACAGGCAAAAGCAGGAGCCCCGCCCTTCACCCCCGCCAGCTCAAACAGGCAGAGAATACTGGCAGCAACACTGTCCCCCCTGCGCCCTGGCCCCACTCCTTCCTACCTCTGCTCCGCCCCTCCTGCCCCCACTGCCCGCCTTCCCCAAAACCTCCTGTCCCAAGCGATGCAACCTGGGAGGTTAGTGGGAGGTGGGGGGGGAGGCTGGCACTGGCTGCAGTGGTC